TGGTATGCTGTAGATGAGAAGGGATGTGGTCACATGTGAAAGGGAAACGTGCGCGATCTCAGTGATGCTAAGTGCTGTTTTCCGTGCCCAGTTCAGGACGGCCAAAAGGAAAAATCGGCCGGCCCCTGACCTGGCAGAAGGGTTCGAACAGGAGTGGTTTTGGTGCTGTTGATGCCTTCCATGATGGGGACCGCTTTGTCCACACCGTGCATGGTTGAATAGTTTTCGGGATATGGCGTTCGTGTTGTCTGCTTTTATACAGTTTGATTGCATGGGCGTCTGGTCATAATAGGAAGCTTGTAATAATTCCTTTCGCCGGCCACTTGTATTTTCCCCTCAGGATAGGGTTTTCAAATCACCACTGCATGGCACCAAAGTTATGGTTTTGACGATGCTGATGGTGATTATGATGGTGCATCACTAAAGATTTAGCTAGTTTGTAGTTGGTAATGAAGCTGAGCAAGAGGTTGTATGGTGTGAGCAGATATCTTTTTGCACCGTGGTTAATGCGAACATAACTTCGTATTTAGCTCATGCGGAAACGTTTAGCGCACGCACCATTTTTGAACCTCGAGGCGGATTTGACACACTCGCATAGGCCTGGCAAATATAGGCGGAAACGGCTGTGGACTCGCCTATCTATTCCCTCCGTGATTTGAAAATACCTATGCCACGCTGCAGCGAGGAGTAAATGTACTTGCTGCTGAACTGGAGTACGTTGATTGTTACAGTTAAATGCAGCCCGAACAACTACAAGGTTAGAACATAAGGTCGCATAAAATGGTACCATGTTGTATTCGGATAAATAAAAAGAACAAACAAATTAAGGCGGCCCGTGAGGTATAGCGGCGGATTTACGCAGCTGCATACCGTTGAAGGCAGATGGGGTTTATGGCCGCTGGCATTTGAGAACTTCTGGAAATTAAAATTTGGCCCCCCGGCTGCAAACCTCACCTCGTTGAAGATAGCTGTTTTTGCCTAAAATGTGGAAAAAATCGAGGATATTCGAGATCTCGCTAAGATGTGAGCATTTAGACCAGCCCTCCAATCAGCTTATGAAATTTCGTAATTAGTGGTTTTTTGTCGATAGCAGTCTCCAACACCGCACATCAGAACACAGGGATGTGTCTTCTTAACGGCAAACATTCGCAGACCAACAGAGGCAGTTAATGAGTTCAAAATGTATCACTTGACAAAGGCAAGCGGACATTACCATTTAGCTGCCAGTGCTTGAAGAGTTGGGGGCACCCTATGGTATTATCAATGACAAGCCGCCGGCCATTCTGGTTTGGCCTTTTGAAATGGAACTTCAACTCAAGAACGCCCCGTGACCGATCTTTCTTTGCGCCTTTCTCTCTTAAGCGCCATCCGGCAGCGATGTGAGCCCTATCTATCTAGTTTTACCTCCCTGGTAAGACACCCGCCAGGACTTCTGTAGCCTTATCGTGTACGAGCTATGATGGAGCTCTGATAGGTCACTCCTTTTATCTATGTCCATGATAAGGTGATACTGAACCCATAAAAACATTTGGGGCTTCTGGCGGAAGCTTTCTTGGGACAGCTAGCGACGGAACGAAGGCAGTCACTCAACTCGCGTGAATACCAAACATCAAGCCGGGGTAGCGGAATAATGAAGGTTTTGGTTTACTGGCCAAGGCCGATTGTTGTCATAGCGGAATAGCATTGTCTCCCCGTTTAGCGTCAAGCAAAGTCTTTGGCCATGGTCTATAGTTGGCCATCAAACGAGTGACCTCCGATAACTGGTGTACGAATACTTCAAGAGATGTTAAGGGTCAAATTATATTGAACCGAAATAGGGCGTTTTGTGAGTGGCCAAAGATCTGGTTGCATTTTGCCGGTTCCTAGAGTAGGCAGGCTAACCAGTTACAGGCCCATTGACGCACACCGCGAACAATGCCAGTGCAACGAAATCTGCGACTGGCCAAACGGCCGGACCATTCAGGGCGTCAAGGACCGCATAATTGCAACCTGTACCACCAGTAGAAGGAATGCCAGAAGCGTATCACAGGGGGTGCTTCTAACGTGATTCAACAGAGGTTTGGATCATGCACACAGGGATGTAGACGGTAAATTTACTTGAAAACCTGCCCCGTCGTACACTACACTGGTTGTTATGAGCACAATGCTATTATCTGCTGAAAGTTCGCGAGTGGAATTAAACATTTTGAATCAAAACATTGCATTTTGTTGCAAGTGTACGCGAAACATAAATCACGCGCATATACATTCACTTTTCGCATTTTGTTTTAAACACTTCCAATTTTTTGGTGCACATTCGACTTCAAAAGTGCTGTGCTTTGACCCAAGGATTTTCCGAAGTTCTTTCAACCTCACACGGTTTATCTGATAATACTGAATGCGTCTTTCGCGATAACAAATCTGAATGAAAGTACGGAGGTCCCTGAACGTATTATTAGGTAGTTTGAACAGTCAGGCAGGTATAAACAACAATGAGTACTCACAGAAGTGGTACTTCCACACCTACTGCATTCACAAGAGCTACCTAGTTCCTGGTAAGCTCGGTTAATTATTTCAGCTGCAGAACTGTCTTAGATTGTTATATATTTACATTTTACCACAAACCCCTACATTGTATTACATTAGGCATAGTTTTCACGGCCGTTGGTTACTGAGGACCTTGAAGATCTACTTACGCAAACAAACCATCTGTGCAGACGATTTGTAGAACATTGCGTCTAAGCATAGACATTCTTCCCACTGAAGCGGTAACTTCGAAAACGAAGTAGCTTTCGAGTATTCACTTCCAGTGGCCAAATACCTAGTGGCTAACGCCACAATATACCTATAATCAGTTTGCAAACGGGGGTCAAAATTATTGTCGCGTAAGAACCCACTGGCGACGGTGCCACCGGTGCCGAAGATATACTAGAGTTCGCCAGTTAACTGTAAGACGTGGTATACGTATCTTGTCTCCCGAGGTGAAGATTTTCGCCCAATAAAACAGGAAAATAGACAAGTTCCTTGTAGTTAGCGAAAACCCCGAAGGACCCGGCCCCAGAAACATGTCGGATGCCCTAGATGAGCAGGTGGATAGTAAAGTGTTTTTGACAAAAACGTGGTACAGTAACGTTTGGCGTCCGAAAGGTGTGAAGAATAAACGCCCGTGGATACGAATCACCGTTGTTGAAGAGCTCCGCATCTGAAGCTTCGAAGGCGAGCCTTAGCGGCCTGGAAGAGTCTTGGTGACGGTGTAGGGTGGCTGGTGCCACAGCACATTCAACCGCACCGAAGGTAGTCAAGACGGCATCGGTGAGTGGGTCTTCCGTTAGCTTTCCCCAGGCAATATACGTTGGTGGACACGTTATGTGTTAAGTGAGGTGAGTAGTCGGTTATAGTCGACAAGGCCATAGAAAATTCTGTGTTGATTTGGGGTAGTGGATGTCGAAACCTTAAGAGCAGAAACTTACCCGTCGTGGGCTTGGTACAGGGTCAATCGATCACATGGCAGAGGTAAACCAAAGAACATATCCGAACTTCACATTTGGTGCGAGGCTTTGGTAAGTCCCGGCAGATATGCAAGGTGCTGCGCGAAGGAAGAAATCCATATTACGAGCAACCGCACCAATGGAGCATTGAAGTTTCTGAGACAAGATGCTCCAACCAAAGGATGTTCGAAAAAACAACAATAATCTGAATAGCGCTGGGCCATAGATATTTCCTAACATGATCATGTGTACGAAGCTTAGTATGCAGAAAAACGGCGAAGCTTCGAAGGGCCACGTCTCCCGTAGTAACGCCATTTGGGGAATTACAACTTGAGGACAATATGCAATGGTAGGGCCTACACATTTTGGAGGGCGGCGGGCTGCTGGATTTTAACAGTCGGTTGAGTTAAGATTTGGCCGTACGGGGTATATCCTAGGCTTCATCTTGAGAAAGTGTGCTCACGGAAGGTCTTTGTAAGGAGATAGAGCGTGCTATTGTTGTGGTGACACGGGGCCTATGCTGCAAGAGTTGCAGGAGACCGTAGAAACCATTGAGCGTATAAAAGCGCGATCTGCCATGGGTATCGACTGTTGTTGCCAAATGACAGATGGACGAGTGTGGCAGTGTACCACCAGTGACCTTTTACAATTACCATCAAAAAGTACTCGAGGTCATGTGTCGTCCGAGAAGGTGACGTGCTTACAGAAGTCAAATCCAACGATTTGCATGGGGTGTCCTTAATGGCGAATGTGAATGACCAGCGTTTGGACGGCGCAACATCGGCGTTGGCGTGAAGCTTTTGGTCTCCGGGCCAAGTGTTATTGTGCGGCTCGAGTGTACGCTATGAAAAACCCATGTGCCGGAGAATCGCAGCCTTGAGCACGTTCCCGAGGCGATGTTTTCCTGAATATCAGTAACCTCCAATATGATAGGCCTCGTTGCAGACGGGGTAACCATTTAATGTCCAGTTTTCTGGGGGGTTTATTACACGGAGGGTAGACCTAGGTTGGTCATACTCAGTCTCAAGTGGGGCACTGAGTGCCACATTGGTTACAACTGCACAGTACACGCCTACCACCACATCGCTTTCAGCCTCGCGGGGCGATCAGACGTGGCCAACTTTTGAAAAATGACGAAAAAACTGCCACACCAGAACAAAATGAGGATATGTATAATGGTTATCAGTAATATAATTCAAGTCAGGAAGACCCAGATAACTGCTTTTTGTGCAAAATATACTTAGGGGAGATAATCTTTCATCTGCTGGGGCAGCCGCGTTGGACAGCCTTGGAAATATAGTGTGATGAATAGAGACACAGAGAGACGTAACGAAGACATAACGACCAGCTAGACAATACATAGGGTGGTTTAAGCTCCGCAATCACTTAAGTGGAGTGAGCGGCCATCGAAGAGGTTTGAATACATCGAAGGAATCCGAGAGTGAACTAGAGCTTGAACTAGCACTTTGCATACACCAGTTCAACGTTTACCCTGCCTCACTGATCCGTTCGATTTTCAAGCTGTTACGCTGGATGACGCGTAGTGTGCACCTTTTGGACTTCAGCTTAATTAGTGATGTCAGTGAGGTTGATGAATGCGAAAATAATGGATACACCTATTTCTCACCACATCAACTCAGTGAGTTGAAATCTGAGCCTAATAACCATGTAAATACATCTCCGTGCGTGTCGGATATATCTTATTCTTCACCTAAACAGGTAAGATTCTTCAGAGTACGTGATCCATTACTGTTTTAGGTCAGGTTTGAGGAACCCACTTGGTGGTCGTCATCACAGAGACAATTGGCTGAAACATTTTCCCCGAGCCTCGATCAATCAGACAAAGGTCCATTCCCTGTTCTCGGCCGTCCTGCGTTTAACTTGGACGACAAGGCTGTTGATTTAGATGGTCTTCAATTAAAGTCTCAACGCAATGCGAGCATCTTCCATGTGCCAGTGAAGCACCAGCCGGATGTGTTTCGCGATGTATCGGTGGATGATCATTTGGATAACTGTGTAAAGTGGTCGACTTCTGAGAGTGCAGTATCGTGCATCAACACGTCACAAAGCTTCCGGTCCGAGCATTGCATTAAAAAATTTACATCTGGACACAATGTCAGTGTGACACCACCCCCCTTGGAAGATCGTTTGCCGCGTACCTTGGCTATTCACCCATCCCCAACTGACTGCACTACTGTCCCGTCCATAACCGGGAAAACTAGGGATTGTCTCATGAGTTCAAGCATTAACTCGCGCGCTGGCCCAGGAAAATCACCGCAAGTGGATGAAACCACCAGAAATTTCGCCCAAACTACAATGTCACCTCCAGGATCAATCGTCAACGTGCCCCTGAATGATGTACGGGATAAATGTGACTGGTCCAAGCCGAGTTTACACAGAGCGAAGCACCTAATTTACCAAATAAACAAGCTTACTGAAAGACTGAATAAAGAATCTCTATCAGTGAGTTTGATGTAGTTTTCCAGTCGCCACCCACAATGTTATCGGATACATACGCGCTAGGAATTTTCTACCGATCTTTTTTTAAATAGTTATTTGTAACGTTAGCAGCAGGTATGTCGGAATCATTTTACTATCAACAACGTTCTACTCAGATACAGCTGTCACGTAGCCAATCGCGCTATTGCATCAGGGTTATCGCCTTCACTACGTGGTTCTTCTTGCCCTTCCTTCTGGTAGCATGGCAGCTAGGCACCGGAAGGGTGCTACAGCTGAACGCTTTTTTTCTCTTTTGCCCTGCTAGGCAGAGATCCGTTTATCATCCATAGGCTGATTATTCCATGGCTTCGAACGTGACTTTCATTGATTTTAATGTTGGCGTACAAAGGTTTAGCAGTTAGAACCACTGCACTTTTGCGCACGGTTTTTGAGCTAAAAATTGCTGAACTGAACTGATACATCCTCTGTCAGCGCGACCTCGCTTGATTCTGATGAATCTCTCCCCCGGTAATCAATCAAACTGCAGTGATTTGTTTCTATAAACCTATGACACTGTGGTAAATATTCTTCTTCACCCGCTGCCTTGCGGTCAGGCTTTTGGGCCGAAGGATCTGGATGAGGACATTAATTTTCTCCTCCAGATGTGAGCGGACTGACAGTATTCCAGCCCGCGTAGAACCATGAATGTGGCAACTGAAAATATTATTGTGCCACTCAGCTCTCTTGTAGTGTCACCATCCTGGTCCCCTTACCCGCTGAATAAAACAAGACCGGTAAGCAAAATCAGGCTATTATGTGCTTCCGTTCTTTCATTTTCACGTATTCCTTCATTTATCCTCCCCAACTTCAGTTTGAGTGTTCACTCTGCAGGTCCCAGCAGCAGAACTGACTGCTTTCCGTGCTGTGTTTCAGAATGCGCATGTTAAGACTAGAAGAAAGACAACGGAAGGGCGTAATATACGCTTCATTCGTCTAATAAGGATAGTACATGAGCTGAAGATATAGAGTGAAAATTACCAGTTAATGATATATGGAAAGCATGATATTCCTCCACTTCGGAATAAGTGAGTATTTTTGCGGAAAACGAAAATTTGTAGAAAAAATGAAACTTGTGGTAGTTACATGGAGTCGTTCATGCATCTCTCTTGCGCAGACTATCTGGGTGAGTGCGCTGTCGTCATGTAAGAATACTCAAGTTAATTCCTGGGTCTGCACTAAAACGGGATGATGAGGCATCGTTAACAGGCAAGATTTCAGTTTCTCGGCAATCAAACTAGACGGCTGGTGTTGGGTTAGGTCCCTCTTGTTCGGTGACGTGCACTGGTTTTAGTTCTGCGCCGGAATAATCGGATGTCGTGCCGTTGCCTTTAGAAGCCAAGCGACGTTGGGATATGGCTGTGCTGTTTGGATGAACTTTGTGGGTATATTGTGGGTTACAAGCGACGAACTCCACTTCCAAATACCTATACCAAATAGTCATCTTTAGAGGCTTTATCGTTGCGTTTTTAAAGGGTCAGTCCAGGGACAGTAAGCCACATAGGCAAGAAGATACCGGTGGCCGGTCGGTGCCTAGCTGCCATGCCACCCGAAGGATGCACGAGAGCTGGGATACTGCCAGGTTGCCCAAGCCTAGACAGGGGAAGTCGAGAGGCGGAGGTCGGATTCGAACCACGGACCTTCAAGTCAGTAAATTCGCGCCCCTACCACTTGGGCCATCTCGCCCCCATTGTTGATTATAGGCAGCGATGTAACTTGTGGCAAAAACTGTTCGGGTTTGGTCTCCATAAGCATATATTGCATCAGGGTTATCGCCTTCACTACGTGGTTCTTCTTGCCCTTCCTTCTGGTAGCATGGCAGCTAGGCACCGGAAGGGTGCTACAGCTGAACGCTTTTTTCTCTTCTTGCCCTGCTAGGCAGAGATCCGTTTATCATCCATAGGCTGATTATTCCATGGCTTCGAACGTGACTTTCATTGATTTTATGCTTGGCGTACAAAGGTTTAGCAGTTAGAACCACTGCACTTTTGCGCACGGTTTTTGAGCTAAAAAATGCTGCACTGAACTGATACATCCTCTGTCAGAGCAACCTCGCTTAATTCTGATGAATCTCTCCCCCGGTAATCAATCAAACTGCAGTGATTTGTTTCTATAAACCTATGACACTGTGGTAAATATTCTTCTTCACCCGCTGCCTTGCGGTCAGGCTTTTGGGCCGAAGGATCTGGATGAGGACATTAATTTTCTCCTCCAGATGTGAGCGGACTGACAGTATTCCAGCCCGCGTAGAACCACGAATGCGGCAACTGAAAATATTATTGTGCCACTCAGCTCTCTTGTAGTGTCACCATCCTGGTCCCCTTACCCGCTGAATAAAACAAGACCGGTAAGCAAAATCAGGCTATTATGTGCTTCCGTTCTTTCATTTTCACGTATTCCTTCATTTATCCTCCCCAACTTCAGTTTGAGTGTTCACTCTGCAGGTCCCAGCAGCAGAACTGACTGCTTTCCGTGCTGTGTTTCAGAATGCGCATGTTAAGACTAGAAGAAAGACAACGGAAGGGCGTAATATACGCTTCATTCGTCTAATAAGGATAGTACATGAGCTGAAGATATAGAGTGAAAATTACCAGTTAATGATATATGGAAAGCATGATATTCCTCCACTTCGGAATAAGTGAGTATTTTTGCGGAAAACGAAAATTTGTAGAAAAAATGAAACTTGTGGTAGTTACATGGAGTCGTTCATGCATCTCTCGCGCAGATTATCTGGGTGAGTGCGCTGTTGTCATGTAAGAATACTCAAGTTAATTCCTGGGTCTGCACTAAAACGGGATGATGAGGCATCGTTAACAGGCAAGATTTCAGTTTCTCGGCAATCAAACTAGACGGCTGGTGTTGGGTTAGGTCCCTCTTGTTCGGTGACGTGCACTGGTTTTAGTTCTGCGCCGGAATAATCGGATGTCGTGCCGTTGCCTTTAGAAGCCAAGCGACGTTGGGATATGGCTGTGCTGTTTGGATGAACTTTGTGGGTATATTGTGGGTTACAAGCGACGAACTCCACTTCCAAATACCTATACCAAATAGTCATCTTTAGAGGCTTTATCGTTGCGTTTTTAAAGGGTCAGTCCAGGGACAGTAAGCCACATAGGCAAGAAGATACCGGTGGCCGGTCGGTGCCTAGCTGCCATGCCACCCGAAGGATGCACGAGAGCTGGGATACTGCCAGGTTGCCCAAGCCTAGACAGGGGAAGTCGAGAGGCGGAGGTCGGATTCGAACCACGGACCTTCAAGTCAGTAAATTCGCGCCCCTACCACTTGGGCCATCTCGCCCCCATTGTTGATTATAGGCAGCGATGTAACTTGTGGCAAAAACTGTTCGGGTTTGGTCTCCATGAGCATATGACTGCGATCCGAGTGAATATAATCTAATCGGTTACAATCTTAAAATGGGTCCCGAGTAGGTGATGCTTCCGTTTGCGCACTGCTTCGACAATAGCTTACTCTTCTTTCTCAATAGCAGAATGATGTCTTTTGGCAACAGACAGTGTACGTGGGAAGAATTCGACCGGTCTGGGGGATTCACGGTGCAGCCAGGAATCTGGTCACAGTTACCGGCCACGAACGATGACCTTTTTTTGGAGTAACATTACTGTTTTCTGCGCTAAGAGCATGTGCGTTTTCTCCAGCTCACTTTTAATGTACCGCAGTACTGATGGATACATAAACATCTGTGAGGAAGCTTCCCTTGGTTTCAACACCGGATTTATTGATCGACAGCTTATTCCTCTTGTTAATGTTCGTGATTGATATCATGGAACGATTGCTTAGAAAATCAAGTAACAAAAGGGTCAGTAACGGAGCACTTGGTTGCAGTTTTGCTGTTAGGTATAAATCCTGTCAAGACTAAAAATACTCCACCGGTAACTTTAGTAGCTGGCTGCTATTGGATGACAAATTGGCTCCATAAAATCGCGTGCAAGAACAGCCCACGATCGAAGATCGGCAAAATATCTGGACAGACGGCGATGCAGTCTTGTCTCCAACGTCGAACGCTGTAAGCAAAAACGAATATTAAGATCACTGGCACGCGACGTGACCGTAGACAACCAAGTCCATAGTTTTCCACACTCGGCAACAGCGCCAACCGCGGCACGGACCTGCACGTAACATTCTCTAGGCAAGTTCACCTCCGATTAGGAGTATGTGTCTGGATCACTGCAGCCTTCGTTTCTTGTGGCCAGTGTTCATATATTATGACAATGCTGTCGATTGTATCGATGGAAACCGCATCTAAGACAAAAGTGAGCCATCCTTTTTCAGATATGACCCAAAGGCATCTATGACAGGATATCTTCAGTTTTTGCATACTATCGTATCACAATTACCATGCATGAGGTGCGGGATACAAATGGGCTCCACAGACCAACCCTAGACAAGAGCTTGGGCAACGTGGCAATATCCCAGGTCTCATGCTCCCAAGGGTGGTCAAGGTGGATTACTTAAAAGAGACCCGCACAGTTCGATTGCCCAACCGTTGACTGTGACCGCTGACAAGGCTTGATCACCCCCGCAGCACTGGCGAATAGCAGGGTCGTAAAAATCAAGTGGGATTTTGTCGGTCCCCTTCTCGAATACCGCCGTACATAGAAGTTAACAGTGTTGCTTTGGATCTAGAAGCAGCGTTTGTCAAAGGTACTTTCGTAGTAATTTTTCTTCTCTAAAATTGAGGCATGCAAAAAACACCCCTCCATTTGGTTCCGGTTTTGTTCGCATACAAAATACACTAGGCAGCTTAAATAACGTTGTCAAGTCGAGATAGTGGAGATAGACTATTTTCTATTAGCTGAGTATCCCAGGTCATAAATGTTGATTTGAATCAAAGGGTAAACTAAGTGTTTTTAAACAACACGGGTAGGAAATAGAAGGTGATAAGTGCGCAAATTTTACATGTCCTCGTCGACACCAGATTAGCGATAGTAAGAAAAGCAAATTTTTGTATACTT